CCCCTGCCGGGCCCAAAGTAATTTTTTTTTTTTTTTTTTTTTAAAAAAAAAGGTAGATAGTATAAAAGATTGTCCGGGACCGTGATAACTGGGGCACTGGACTCCCACATGGTTGACCATGGTTTGAGTTCTGGACCTGGTGGCTTGTCTCATTTTTCCCTTTCTCTCTCTCTCATTCTGTCTCTTCCTGGTCAAAATAAAAAGTAATAATAAATAAAATTAAATAATTATTTTTTTAAAAAGATTCTCTTCTGATGGAAAATAGATAAAGGATACATCCCCCCCCCCCCTCTGATAATATACTTTGTTGCACTTAACTTCTGGGCTGGCCCTGTAGCTAGTGGTGACTGGAGCCTGATCTCACATGGCCTATTGCAGTTTGAATCCCAGCCCTAGGACCTTGAAAAATATACCAGGCACTTGGTGGGTGTGTGCGTGCCCAAAATTCCAGCAGGATAGAGAAATGGAGGAGAAGGGATTGCGCGTGACCACATCCCGTTTGGGATTATTTCTCTCTTTGGTGATTATATATACCCTCTAGGAAATTAAAAAACAAACAAAAAAGCCCAGTTCTGACGCACTTCATGCTTGAGAAAACTTCTGTAATACTAAGAAGCATTCATTTCTCCAAATGTAGTCCTGCTTTTAAGTTTTGTTCTTACTAAACTTAGCCATTTTCTATATTTTTTCCTTATCTAGTTTGGAATTAATCTATGTACTTGATGATTTATCCTTAGGGCAGTTGAAATTCTTATCTAAATTGAGCCTGCTACTTCCTTTCTTTTTAATCTTTATGTAGATGCAAACTATAAATGGATTTCTTTTTATATAGACCCTAAAGAAATGAAAGTTTCATGTTGGATTTCAGAAGACTTGTAATCATTTCTTTTTTCACTAGGAAAATTTGCAGACTGTAGTAGTCTTGCAGGCCAAGTCTGTTAGCCTTAAACGTAGTCCTTGAGGGTCTAAACATTCAATGCCAGATATTTGACCCTTTTTTTTTTTTTAAAGACTATTTTTCCGGGACCAGCAGTTGGCGTAATAGCTATGTCGCTGGACTCCCATGAGGTCAACCACAGTTCAAATCCCGGACCTGGTGGCTTAAACTCACGCCAGACGTGCGTGCGTGCCCGCATGCCCAAGATCCTGAGAGGAGAATGGAGAGAATTGCTGCGTGGCCATCCCCCCGGGGAGTGATTTCTCACTTTCTATCTCTCTGTCTCTCTGGCAAGCACACGTGCCCTGTAGCAAAAACCTCTCAAAATAAATAAATAAATAAAGACCTTTTTTCCTATAAAAAGTGAAATTGATGTTTATCTGGCAAATGTTTTTTGGAGAGGTGGACTGATTTCTAGAGTCAGTGAAATTTTTTTCTAGTTATTTGGATTTATATAAATACGTCTGAATCATGAAGGTACTTAATTGCTTTCCATAAGGAAGTTATAAATCCCAACCCCCTCCTACAAAAAGAAAACAAAAGCCTCCTGAATTTCAGAATGGGAAATCAATTTGTTAGAAAGAAGCTGGTGAGTATTTTAAAAAGCAACTTTATGTCAGAACCTACCCTTTCATTCTCTTCTGTCTTGTACCATACTACATCTATTCAAAAAAATGAAGAAGCAACGCTATTAATAACTCAGCAACCAAAATAGCAGTTCAGGCCCAGATTTCAGCTAGTACCAAACTGAGACTAAGACTTCTACACACGCATGGGCCTGAAGAACAACTGAAAGAAACGAACACTTTGGATTAGGAACCAAGTACGATTTACTGAGTCATCCAGGATCAAAAAACCTAGTAACAGGAAGATCCAGCTTGCTGGGCATGCTTTTCAAAGGCTTGCTCCCGATGTTTTTTTTTTAGGCAGTGCTTTCTTTAGTTGTCGAGGCTCAGACTATTAAGTCTGTAGAGATCTGAAAGGCGGATGATTTGAAGTTGACACTCATCATCCATCAGTCTCTAACAGAGGTGGAGCCTTGAACAACATCCACTTAAAGAACAAAATAATTTCATTCCTAAGGGCGAAGTCCGTGTTACCATTTTAAAGAGGTTATTGCTAATGTACATATCATTATTGTATCAGTTGACCATGTTGCTGGCTGCTGGCCTGGAGGTACTTCACTTAGGCTAGGAACAAAGAGCAGAAGAAATGATAGCTCCCCCGGGAGAGGGACCACAGTTAATGGTGAGTGAAGTGGATTACTGACAATAGCAACTTAGCCACCGTCTTTCATTAAGGATGCAATAGTCATGAGGGTCTTCAGAATGTGAATCAGTTTTGAAAGGAATAGTGCTAAAGACCTAAATGATCTAAACTCTGTATATTTAGGGGAAAGGAAAGTAGATTTTTAAAGATTTTTGAATTTTTAGTGCCAGCTTTCTGTGTTATTAGACTGAAAAGAATGACCTTAGCACACAATAATTTTCGGATTTACCGGGTAGTACTGGGACGGCCTCTTTGTACTAAGAATTCCCTGTTATGTCATTACAGGCTTCCTTTCTGTCTGACCAGCCTGAACCCTACCTGCCATTTCTTTCCCGCTTCATTGAAACCCAGATGTTTGCCACCTTTATTGATAATAAAATCATGTCTCAGTGGGAAGAGAAAGATCCTTTGCTTCGGGTCTTCGACGCTCGGATTGAGAAGATAAGACTGTATAATGTAAGGGCACCCACGTTGCGGACGTCCATATATCAGAAATGCAGCACTTTAAAAGAAGCAGGTACATTTGCCATGTCTTTTAAAATTGAATTTAAACCTATGATCATTTCTTTTTTATGTGTCGTTGGCTTTATATGCCACAGAATTAATTTCCAGTTTTAGACTTCATAGCTGATCCTGGTATTAGTGGTTTCTATAGTTTCCTTTCTCTTTTCCTCATTTTCTACTTGACATTCCTCTTCCCTTATTCAGAAGAAGAAAATCATGGGACCAGCGGATGGCGTAACAGTTACATCGCTGGACACTCATTTAGTCAACCACAGTTCGATTCCCAGAACTGGCAGCGTAAAACTCATGCCAGGCATGTGTGTATGCATGCCCAAAATTCTCAGATAAGAATAGAGGAGAAGGGATTGCAGTGTGGCCCTCCCCTCCGGGGAGTGATTTCTCACTTTTTGTCTGTCTTTCCAGTGAGCACATGCACCCTAAAGCAAAAATCTGTCTCTCTAAAACAGTAATAATGAGGGGACCAGCAGGTGGCTTGGTGACTAAGGCACTGGGCACTCCCACGTGGCCGACCACAGTTCGAGTCCCAGACCTGGTGACTTGCTTTCTCACTTTCTCTCTCTCTCTCTCTCTGTCTCTCTCTGGTCAAATTAAAAATAAATGAATGAGTAAATAAAATTAAATAATACCTTTAAAAATAACTATCATAAAAAATAATAATAGTAATAATAAATTGGAGTATAACTGGGAGATTGCTGTGATTTTCATCTTTATTGCTTTAATAAGAGAAAATGTTAATATTTCTCTTGCTACTTATGTTACCTTTTAACTTCTCTTGTCTTCATTCAAGCAAAGATAAGTACTAATTTTAAATAGCAAATCTAGGACCAGCGGTTGGTGTAATGCTATGTCACTGGACTCCCATGTAGTCAACCACGGTTTGAGTCCCGGACCCAGTGGCTTAAACTCACGCCAGGCGCATGTGTGTGCATGCCCAAGATCCCAAGGGAAGAATGGAGGAAAAGGGGTTGTGGCGTGGCAATCCCCCCAGGGGGTGATTTCTCATTTTATGTCTCTTTTTTTGGTGAGCACATGCACCCTATAGCAAAAATTTCTCCAAAAAAAATAAATAAATAATAAGAATGAAAGTTTATAAATAAAATAGCAAATCTGAGATGCTACCTAATTTATGTATATGCAACTAAACAAGTATATTTGCTATAGTGGTACCATTAATTATAACAGTTTTATTTACTGAAATTAGATCTAAATCTTGGGGCCAGCAGATAGTGTGGTTACAGTGGCTGAATCCTGGCCAACTGTACAGTTCTAGTCTCTGACATGGCAACTTGAAAAACATGCTGGGCACGCGTGCTTACATGCCCAAAATCCCAAAAGGAGAATGGAGGAGAAGGTGTGGCCATCCCTCCTGGAGCGTGCTTTCTCATTTTCTCCACCCCCAACCCTCTACCCTGTCAAACGGCTGCACACCCTATAGCCAAAACACATTAAAGCTCTAGATCCTTGCATTCAGATTAGAAGTGTCTCCAGCCCTGACCTCAGTTTTCCCCTCAGGAAATTATGAGTCTTGAGCAGTCTTGTCTGGCTATATAATGTAGCCCATTAAATAAATAGTCATATTACTAGCCAACAAGTACTGATTGCTAGGTATCCGGCATACAGTGTTTTACGTGCACTTGTGCGTTTAATCACTTTTCTTTTTTAATAATTCGCTAGAGGGCACACACAGTCACCAGGGAGCGGGAGATGAGAAAGCATGCCCGTGGGGGATGGCCATGCCACCATCCCTCTTTCCCGTTTCTCTCTTTGGGGATTTTTGGGCACAAATGCACCTTAAGCCACTAAGTCCAGGACTTGAACCACATAGCTGGCCACATGGAATCCAGCCTCCTTGACCTCCATACCAGTGACTGTCCTTGCATTTAATCTTAGCATTGTAGTGACATACTTGCTTTTTGTGTGTGTGTGTGTGTGGTTAGGGAGCCCTGGTTGAACCAAAGTCTGATGGTTCCTGCACCAAAAGCCTTAATACCCTATTAGCTTCTCGTTCAGTAGAGAGGTGAAGTGTACCAGTCCACACTCCTTTATACATTTGTGCCCGGCTCCCAACTCATTGCCTGCTGCAGAATAGGTATCTGTCATCCGGGTGCCCTTCGTTTTCGTTCTCTCCCTTCAAATGTAGGTGCTATTTGAAAGCAGGCTTTTCCCTGTAGAAAGTGAGACAGCAAATGTGGAGTGTCCTGGCTCTGCCTCTGTCGCTCGCTTGCCTTCCCCACTTTACTCAAATAGAGCGAAGTCACAGGATTAGCGATGCTGTAGTTGTAGCTTATTTAAGGACAGACATATGTAAATGAGGTCTTTATGTAGCTGTGGAGGTCTTCAAAACATCACCCTGTGCATGCCCACGCGTAAGAGTAAATCCTTGGAGCCTCTTCAGGAAGTGGCAGCTACCTCTGTGTTTGTGAAAATGGAGGGCGTAGAAATGGAATCATCTGTGCCTATTTAGAGACTGTTATGACTTCCAGTGCTTTCAGAGCCATGAGAATATTATAATGCCTTAGTGCGCAAATTTCATTCCTTCCTTGACAGAATTTTAAAAAAGAAACTAAGGACTGATTCCTTAATGTGTATGCTCCCAGAACGTTTTTTCCAATTAAAACACGCTGTCCTTCTAAGGACCTGTAGGTGGGAGAACAGTTGTGTCGCTAGACTCCCACATGGTCGACTGTGGTTCAAGTCCCATACCTGGTGGTTTAAAACTCACACAGGGGGACCGGCACGTGATATAGTGGTTAAGGGTGCTGGGCTCCCACATGACCAACCACATTTGAGTCCCGGACCTGGTGTCTTTCTTTCTCGCCTTCCATCTCTCTCGCTCTCTCTCACTCTGTCCCTCTCTGGTCAAATTTAAATAAATAAATAAATCTTTAAAAAAAAAAAAAAAGCTCACATAGGACATGTGTGCGTGTGTGCTTAGAATCCCAAGAGGAGAGTGGAGGAGAAGGGATTGCAGCGTGGCCATACTCCAGGGAGCGATTTCTCACTTTCTGTTTGTCTGTCTCTGTCTCTGTAGTGAGCATATGTACCCTGTAGCAAAAATCTCTCATAAAAAAAATACATTGTCTTTTGACCTCTCAAGAGAGTTTGATATTCCCACTGTCATTACAGGAATTTTGTAGTCCTCTTTTGAAAATGTACAATTATAGACTTAACGTATATGAAAATGACATGAGACCGAAGCAGTAGTTTCCAGGAAGCTAATTTACCTAAGATTTAAAAAAGAAAAAAGTGAAAGAAGGGGCCAGGTGGTGGCATGGTGATTAGGGTGCTAGACTCCCAAATGACTAACTACGGTTCGAGTCCCAGACCTATCAGCTTGCTTTTCTCACTTTTTCTTTCTTTCTATCTCTCTCTAGTGAACACACGTGCCCTACAGTAGATAAAAAATAGTATTGAAAATTAATAAAATTTAATAAATAATTTTTTAAGTGAAAGAAAACACCTGACCATGACCGTATACCCCTCATAAATGATGCAACTGTTTTGTGTATGAGAGTGTGTGTGGTGGTTTGTTTAGTTTTGTGTTGTTTTAGTGTCCCGCTGTGTCACAGTCCTCCTGCTTCAGCCTGCCTGCTAACAGTATTCAAGGCTGAGCAGTTTTTTTTAAAAAAAAAAAATTTTAAAGAATTATTTAATTTTATCTACTACTATTATTATTATTTTTTTAGTTTCCTATAGGGCACATGCACTTACCAGAGAGAAAGAGAAAAAGTGAGAAAGCAAGATGTCAGGTCTGAGACTCATGGTTGGCCATGTGGGGGTACAGCACCTTAACCACCACGCCACCACTGGCTCCAGTTATTTCTCTCTTTTTTAATTCTTTGTTTTTCTTTTAAGAATTATTTTTATTTAACTTTATTTATTTACTTATTTTACTTTGACCAGAGAGAAACAGAGTGAGAGGGATGGTGGAAAGTGAGAAAGGAAGCCGCCAGGTCTGGGACTCCAACCACAGTTAGCCCTGTGGGAGTCCAGTACCTTCAACCACCACGCCACCTTCCGCCCACCCCTCCTAGTTATTTATTTTATCATGTAAAATTGTCCCTGAGATCGAGGTGTTGTTGATGACACTGGATTTTTATTGTGTATTTTTGTTGTTATTGTGGTGCTTTTGCTTCTATTCTGCCTCTGGCCAAAAAGACTTTTGATTTATATGTGAGCGCAAGCTATCTGCTATTGATACTGTGACATCCCAACCTCATTATTTCCTTGCAGAAAGAAAGACAAGTTGATAGTAATGCAGTTGTTTTTTACTTTGTTTTGTTTCATTTTGTTTTGCCATAGGGCACATGTGCTTGCCAGAGAGAGAGGAAAAGAGAAATCATCCCCCAGGGGAATGGACACCCACAATGCCTTCGGGATACTGGGCATGCAGGTAGCCCATGTGATTCTCAAGCCACCAGGTCTGGGACTCAGACTGCAGAGCTGGCCATGTGGGAATCCAGTGCCTTGGCCAACTACCACTCCACTTGCTGGCCCAGTTGTATTTTTTCTTACCAATCACAGCAAGTGAATATTAGCACAAACCATAAATGCCTAACAATAGACCCCTGACCTCTCAAAGCAGGCGTTTAGTACTTTCTGAATGTTCAGTATTCACTCGTGGCACAGTCGCCGAAAAGGAGTGGAGTCGAGTGCGCCCTGTGGCAGTTCCGAATATAAACCCTAGAGTAATTCGTTGTGGATCATGATTTTTTTTTTTTAAACTTTCCAAATAAAGGAGAACAACTCATGTCAGATGGACTTCTCTGTCACTTTAAATCCAGTGGAAAAACTGAAGCTACTTTTCCCCATTTCATGAAGACAGAAGCACTTATTGGCAGAAATAGAATGTTGTAGCATTTAATGGGATATAAAGTTGGCAGAGATTTAAAAGAATTCTGTATTTTGAATCTAGGCATTATTTGGCTTACACCATTTGTTAATTATGTTCTATAAATATTAGGAAGCATAGAGAGTATAGACAGGGTTGTGGAGAGATGGGGGATTGTTGAAAATAAGTATCATTTCACATTAAAGCATGGCATCCTAGGACCAGCACATAGCATACTGGTACATTGCTGGGTTCCCACATGGTAGACAACAGTTCAAGCCATGGACCCGGTAGCTTGAAAATCACACCGAGAGCATGTGCATGTGTGCACAAGATCCCAGGAGGAGGATGGAGGAGAGGGGCTGCAGTGTGGCTATCCCCCCTGGGGCGTGATTTCTCACTTTCCCTCTCACTGTCTCTGTCTCTCTTTGGTGAGCTCATGCAGCCTATGACAAAAACCTCTAAAAAAGAATGGCTTCCTTTTGCACTGCATAGAAGGTAGAAATTATGGTTTAAGAGCAGTTACACATTAAAACATAATGAAATTCAAGAAAGTTTTGGTCAAGTTCACAGGGGTTCTGAGGGAAAGTTAGAGAAGTTTAAAGTAAGTGTCTAACATTTTGAAGTATATACCACAGAGGGCAGTAGTAACTTCCGTAAGGCATCCCCTTACCACTCCCATCAAACTCTAACACTGGCTTCAGTGAAGCACTGCCTTGACATAAAACGGCACTGAGCACGCTCTCTTGACAAGAGTGGAGAGTGTTGTGTCCAACCAACCCCTTTATCCCCCGCCCCCCAAAAAACCATTAGTATATGTGTGGGGAATAACCAGCAAGACTGAATCTGCTGGTATTGAAAGAGCGGCCAAAGAAACCAATTTTGTGACATATTTATACAGGTACCTTTATACTTCTGTCACAAGAGTAGCAGCTCCCACAGTGTGTTCGGTATCACACAACCACAAGTGCTGCTTGTGGCCATTTTTAGTAATCACCAAGCAGAGGATTGAAGACCTACTCTTGCTTCTTAAATGCTGTTTTTTCTCTTGAAAATTCAGCTGATAAAAACATTTGTGGGGACCAGCAGTTAGCGTAATGATTATGTGGCTGGACTCCCACATAGTCGACTACGGTTCGAGTCCTGGACCCAGTGGCTTAAACTCACGCCAGGCGCATGTGCGTCTGTGCCCAAGATCCCGAGAGGAGGATGGAGGAGAAGGGATTGCAGCGTGGCCATCCCCCCTGGGGGGTGATGTCTCGCTTTCTGTCTCTCTGTCTCTGTCTCTGTCTCTGGTGAGTGCACACACCCTATAGCAAAAAACTCTAAAAAAAAAAAAAAAAAGAAAACATTTGTGATCAAATTTTTTTTTCTTAACTGAAGAAATAGTTCACAGTTTCTTGGGTCTTTTAGACATCTTCCAACATCCCTAACTAAGTAGTTTTTCTTTCTTTTTCTTTTTTTTTTAAGAGAGATTTTTCTTATAGAGTACGTGTACTCACCAGAGAGACAGAAAGTGAGAAATCCTTCCCACGGGGGGATGCCTATGCTGCAATCCCTTCTCCTCCATTCTCCTCGTGGGATTCTGGGCGTGCCCACACACACACACACACACACACACACACACACACTTGGAGACAGTTTTAAGTTACCGGGTCTGGGACTCAGAACTGTGGTCAACTACATGAGAGTCCAGCAACGTAACCATTACACCATCTGCTGGTCCCAGTAGTTTTAATATAAATGTTAAGGTGGCCCTGTGTGTGTGTACACGTTTGTGCGTACACACCCAAAGTCCACACAGGATAGAGGAAAAGGGATTGTGGTGAGACCACACCCTATTGGTGCTTTCTCCTTCTCTCTCTCTCTCTTTCTTTCTGTCTTTAATGAGTGTATATGCCCTCTGGCAATTAAAAATTTTTAAATATAAATCAAATAGAAACATTAAGTAATTCTTGTTCTTTAACTTTGCTCTGTTTTGTTCTTTGAAAGGTCAGTTTCTTATCCTCCGGTCATTTTCCAAGGGCCTGCTTCTGTGACGTTTCTCTACATCTACTCTCCATCCATTGCCCGCTCTTAAATGACTCCTAATGAGAATGTGACTGTTGCTCAGAGTGAGACCCTGAACTTCACACAGGTCTTTGTCTTTGCAGATGGCGACCAGGAGTCCTTAATAGCCCTTTGCAGGAAGTAAAGAGGCTCCTGTGCTGCTCTTTGCCTTTCCCTTGCCTGATCTTTCGGCTCAAGAAAAATTCTTTATTTACTGTCATCTTCTTTAATATTGTCTCTAGATTCATATTTTTGTTAAGAATACTGAATTTTCCACTTAACAGAAAATGTCTCAATACTAATTTACAGATTTTTCAGCCCAGCTGTGTTCCTTTGGACAAAGGCAGAAATTAATCATCTGATATTTACTTAAAATTAACCTTTTTGTACTTACATTATACTGATTTCTGAAGAGCCTTTGTAAAAAGTCTGTTTCCGGGTGTCAGAATGATTGAGTTCTCTGTAGGTGTACTAATGGAGGAAACATTATTTTTGAAGGTTTAGCAATGAAAAGTCTCTAATTTGTTATGAATTCAATTTATAGCCCAGTCCATTGAGCAGAGACTGATGAAAATGGATCACACTGCAATCCACCCACATCTGCTTGATATGAAAATTGGTCAAGGCAAATATGAGCAAGGGTTCTTTCCAAAGTTGCAGTCTGATGTCTTGGCAACTGGACCAACCAATAACAAGTAAGCACATTCTTCACTTGAGTCAATTGAAGGAATGAATGAAGAGTGGGATGCTCTGCAACTCTAATGGGGTAATGCTTAACCATCAAATATCTTCTCCCTGGGTTGCTTCTTCTTGAGACCACATTAATCCATTTGAAATATGGATTGAATTCTGTTAAGCACTTGACTTTTAGCTGTCATGTAAAAAAAATTTGAAGGCACTTTAGTGCTTTTTTGTTTTCGTTTCTGGTTTTCATGAAAATTGCACTTGGGCATTGCTCACTTGAAGTAACTGTGTTTAAACATAATCCTGAAGCCTGCAGGTTGTGTGGTGGTTTAGGAACTGGACTCTCACATGGCCAACTGCAGTTCGAGCCTTGGACCTGGTAGCTTGTTTTCTCTCTTTCTATCTCTGTCTCTTTCTGGCCAAATTAAAAAATAGTAATAACAAATTTAAATTAAATAATTGTTTTAAGAAATAAATTTTTTAAAAAAACCATAATCCTGGACTGGCTCCATGATGTCGCATTTAAGAAGAAGCAGGATCCCACATGACAGACTAGAGTTCAAGGCCAGGCCCCATCTACTTGGAAAATACACTGAACACATGTGTGCCTGAAATCCTGGTGGGATGGAGAATTGAAAGAAAAAGGATCGCAGTGTGACCAGGCCCTGTTGTAGGGTATTTCTCCCCCCCTCTCCCACTTCACATATGCACCATGTATGACCTCTGATACTGAGAAAAAAATAAGCTGATAAAATGCCATGGTCATTTTCTTTTGGGGGGAGGTAGTTTTAGGGCACACACACTCAAGTTATAGGGTGCGTGCGCTCGGCAGAAAGACAGACAGAGACAGAAAGCGAGAAATCACCCCCCAGGCGGGATGGCCATGCCGCAATCCTTTCTCCTCCATTCTCCTCTCGGGATCTTGGGCATGCACGCACATGCTCCCGGCATGAATTTAAAGCCACTGGATCCAGGACTTGAATCACTATCAACTACATGGAAGTCCAGCGACATTGCTATTATGTTAACTGCTGGTCCTACCATGGTAATTTTCTTAATCATAATGAAATTTAGAAAAGTTATGCTTTTACTGTTTGTATTCATTTTTTTAAAGTTGGCACGACAGAGTGTCACAGGCTAGATGGCTTAAAACAATAGAACTTATTCTTTCATCATCTGGAAGCCAGAAGTTTGAAATCTAGGCATTAGTAGGGTCACGCTTCATCCAAGGCCTGTAAGGGAGGACCCATTCTTGCCTCTTTCAGGTTCTGATCGCCCCAGTATCTCCCTCCTTGGCTTATAGCAGCACAACCGTAGTCTCTGCCTCCACCTTTACATGTCTCTCTTCCCAATATGTTTGTGTCCGAACTTTCCTCCTCCTCTTCTTTTTTTTCCTTAATTTTTTCTGTAGAATGTATGACTTGCCAGAGACAGAGAGAAAGAGAGAGGGAAAGTGAGAAAGCACCTCCCCCTGCTGCCACCAAGGCGGAATGACCACGTCACAGTCCCTTCTCCATTTTCCTCTCTGAATTCCTGGGCATGCATGCACGTGCTCCCTGCATGTTTCTCAGGCCTCTGGGTCTGGGACTCAGCCGCACAGCTGGCCGCGTGGGATCCAGCCACCTTAGCCTCAACACTATCTCCTGGTCTCTCTAAACTTTCTTTTTCTTATGAGGACATCAGTCATACTGGATTGGGGCCCACTTTAATGACTTTATCTTTATTCAAATTACACTCACAAAGAACTTATTTCCAAATGAAGTCACAGTCAGGGTTCCCAGGGTTAGGACTTTGACATATCTTTGTGGGGAACACAATTTAACTTTTGTACTTACAGCGTTTAAAGCACAAAAAAATTTTACAAAACATGCAGAAATAAAGGTAAACCTTGGCATTTATTTATTTTATGAGTGAGAAACAGAAACAGTGAGACGGCACCCCCACCATGGTCTCTTTTAAATGTTCAGTTGTCACAGGGTGCATGCACTTGCCAGAGAGAGAGAGTCCTCCTTATGGGACGTGGTCACATCACAATCCCTTCCCCTTCATTTTTCCATCCTCTTATGATTTTGAGCACACATATACACGTGCCTGGCATGTGTTTCAAGCCACTGAGACTGGGATTCAAACTGCAGTCGACCTCATGGAATCCAACTCCCTAACCATTAGGCTACGGGGCCAACCCCACAACCCTGTGTGGACACCACAGTCCATCCCCAAGTTCAGCCAGCCCAAGTCCTGGGTGCGTGCCTGCCCAGTTACTCAGGTAGGTCTCGGGACAAACCAGGAGCCTTCCCATAGGGACAGCCTCAAAGAGTCTCATGTGTGATTGCAGTGTCACCTCCTAGCCCCCACACTGTCAGTCTTCATGACAAATAACTTCATTCAGAAATTATGTGAATATGGTTGGAATTGAAAACATTTACTTGGGTTTACGGTTGTTACTGATTTTAAGTAAGAATATAAATATTCAGAGGTAAGTGATAGAAGAAGTGGTTTATAAAAAAGAATATTGATGGGGAAAAGACTTGGAAGGTGCTAGCTTTAAACTAGAAACCAACAATTTCAAAATTTAGTTTATTCTCAACCACTTAGCAGTGTAGGAACCTTGACAAGTTAGAGTCACGTGCCTCTTTTCTCATCTGAAAACACTCGGCATCATCTGCAGTCTTCTTAAAGAGGCTCAGATAAGGAGGAACCGGAAGTGGCAAAGAAATGGGATGAAGTAAGGGGCTGGCACATAAAGTGGAAGTGGTACGGAGCCTCCTGAACTTTCAGAAACAAAGTAGAAAATCAGTGAGGGGAACTAAAGGACGTGGAATTATGTCTTTGGACCCAAGTAGCCAAAACCAAGTGAGTAAGTAATAGGAAGTTTCTCAAAAGATGGCTTACAAGTATGGCCGACCTGAGGGCACATTGGGTAGCTAACTGAACTCTAGTGCAGGAAGCCATATGGCTGATTGCATGTTAGATCCCAGGCGAGCTGAAAACACACTAGGCATGTGCACCTGTGCCCAGGATCCTGACGAACTGGGAGGCTTGCTCTTGTGTGACCAAGTTCGCTCTCGTACACACACCTTCTATCATGAATTAAATCCATAAACTATTAAAAAAAAAAAAAAAAAGACTGGCTCTGTGGTGCATGGTGACCATGGTCCCAGTACTTGGCCTGGTCAGCAGCCCGAAACAGGCCAGGCACACACTTGAGTGCCCAGGATCTAGTGGGCAGGTGGGTTGGAGGGAGGTGATCAGGCCCTATAGGAGGGTGTCCTTCTCTCTTTCTCTCTCTCTCATGTGCATGCGCACACACTCTGGTCACGAATAAAGAAAAAAATGGCATGATGTCTCTACCTTTCATATGTTCTGCTGAACTCTAGAGTTTGTGGTGCTTACTCTTTTTCCAAGAAGTATTTATTAGGGGACCAGCAGATGGCATAATGGTTACGTTGCAGAGTCAGCCACGGTTCCTGTCCCGGATCCAGCAGATTAAAACTCACACCAGGGGAACCAGCAGTTAGCATAATGGCTATATCGCTGAACTCCCATGTAGTCGACCACGGTTCAAGTCCTGGACTCAGTGGCTTAAACTCACGCCAGGTACATGTGCATTCACGCCTAAGAGGCACGAGAGGAGAATGGAGAAGGGATTGCGGTATGGCCATCCCCCCTGGGGGGTGATTTCTCGCTTTCTGTCTCTCTCTTTCTGGCGAGTGCACGCACCCTATTGCAGAAAAAACTCTCCAAAAAAAGAAAGAAAAAAAGAAAACCTCACACTAGGCATGTGTGAGCCCCAAATCCCGAGAGGACAATAGAGGAGAAGGGATTGTGGCGTGGCCATCCCCCCTGGGGGGTTATTTCTCACTTTCTGTCTCTCCGTCTCTCTTTCTGGTGAACACACACTCTCTAGCAAAAGCCTCTCAAAAAAAAAAAAAAAAAAAAAAGCTTATTGGGACCAGCAGATGGTGTAGCTGAAGGTATTTGTTTCAATGTGTTCCTGAAATAATTATTGATTAGCTAGGTACAAACATGAGGGCCAGCAGGTAGCCTGAAAGTTAAGGCATCTGGATCCTACATGACTAACTGTGTGATTCAAGTCCCACACCCTGTAGTTTCGAAAACATACTGGGCATGTATGTGTGTGCGTGCCCAGATTCCCAAGAGGAAAGTGGAGGACATTGGATTGTTATGTAGCCATCTCCTGCTGAGGGGTCATTTCTCACTTTCCCTCTCTCTCTCTTTCTCTATCTCTCTCTGATGAGCGCATATACCCTGCAGCAAAACCAGGGGAGGCGGGGGGTCGGGGGGAGGAACAGTGCTATGAAAGGCCAGCCTGGTATGGTGGTTAAGGAAGCTAGATTACCACGTGGTTTAGATCGCAGACCTAGCAGCTTGAATAACATGCTTAGACACATGTTCCCCAGATCCTGATAGGATAGAGAAATGGAGGAGAGAAGATTGTGACCGTGCCTCATTGGGGCTCTTTTTCTGTTTGGGGTGCACATATGCTCTCTGAAAATTCATGGAAAAGAAAAAAAGTTTAGATCTTTTTTTTTTTTTTTGGAGAGAGACTTTTGCTATAGGACACATGTGCATGCTGGAAAGATAAAGAGACAGAAGTGAGAAATCACCCCTTGATGGGACATGGCCACACCGCATTCCCTTCTCCATTCTCCTGCCATGATCTTGGACATGCACACACACGCACCCAGCGTGAGTTTGAAACTGCTGGGTCCAAGACTTGAACCACGGAGGGCCATGTGGAGTCTAGCAATCTGCTGCTTCCCTTATTATTATTATTATTTAGGTTTGTTGTCATAGGTGTTGTGTGCTTGCCAGAGAGAGACAGAGAAAGACAGTGAGAAGGAAAGTGAGACATCACTCCTCAGGTGGGATGGCCACACTGTGGTTTCTTCTCTGCCATTTTTCTCCAGGATTTTGGGCACACATGCGCATGCATCTGGCATGATTTTTAAACCACGGGACTCCAACTGTGGTCAGCCATGTGGGAGTACAGCACCTTAACCACCACACCACCTCCTGGCCCCTAGATCTTATTTTAAACTCAGTTTTTTCTATGTTTTGACAATTAGTTTGTATAATAACTATTTTTGCAAAATAACTGCTAGATACATGAAATTGTTTTGCAGAAACACTACAGAAATTTCAAATTGAAAGGAATCAGTGATCATTGAGGCTCACTTTTATAGTCTATTTTTATTTAGATATCTTTCCTTTTTTTCATGATAGAGCATTTCTGTACACACGAAAGTGAAAAAAGAGAAGAGGTGAAAGCACCGTCCTCTGTCTGGTCGTGCCGTGATCCCCTTCCCCCATTCCTCTAGCCCGTCTGCTCTTGGCATTCACCAGGCTGGGGATTTGACTTGTGGTCACCTGTGGGACCTCTCTTGAGCAGTGCAGTTCTGCAGTCCCATAGAACTGGCCTCACTCCTTATTTTGAATCTTAAATTTAGTGGGCTGGCGGAAAAGTCATGATGTGTTTTTCTGTGCAAAAATGCATCATGACTTTTCTGATGACCCAATAGAAAGCTATTTCTTCAAAGTTTTTATTTGTTAAGACCAGCAGATGGCATAATGGTTATGTTGCTGGACTCCCACATGGCTTACCGTGGTTTGAGTCCTGGACCTGGTGGCTTGAAACTCGTGGTGGGCGAGTGCGTGTGCATGCCCAAAATCCCTAAAGGAGTCTGGAGGAGAAGAGATTGTGGTGTGGCCATCTTCCCTGGGGGTGATTTCTCACTTTCTTTCTCTCTGTCTCTCCAGTGAGTGCATGTACCTGATAGCAAAAAAAATTTTTTTTTTTTTAATTTTTACTCTCTTAGGACAAGGAGAAGTAGTTCTAAATTCTGGATTTTGAGAATATTCTTCTTTGTGTTGAAAATACTTAGCTTAGAAATCAGCAGTTGGCATAATGGCTATGTCACTGGACTCCCATGTAGTTGACTGAGGTTCGAGTCCCAGAACTGGTAGCTTAAACTCATGCCAGGCGTGTGTGCATGCGTGCCCAAAATCCCGAGAAGAGAATGGAGGAGAAGGGATTGTGGCATGGCCATCCCCCCTGGGGGGTGATTTCTTGCTTTCTATCTCTCTTTCTCTCTCTGTCTTTCTGGTGAACATATGCGCCCTATAGCAAAAACCTCTCCAAAAAAGAAAGAAGGAAGGAAGAAAGGAGAGAGAGAGAGAGAGAGAGAAACAAAGAAAATACTCACTCTGCAGGTGGCACAATGGTTAAGGGCACTAGACTTTCACATAGCCGACTGCAGTAGGAATCCCAGGCCTGGCCGCTTGCTTTCTCTCTCTCTCTCTCTCTCTCTCTCTCACTCACTCATTGTCCCTCTCTGGTCAAATTTAAATAAAGTCAAATAAAATCATTCTTTAAAAAAAAAAAAAGAAGAAGAGGGCCAGCAGGTGGCGCAGTGGTAGTTAAGGGCCCCAGACTCCCACATCGCTAGCTGTGGTTTGAGTCCCATACTTGGCAGCTTACTTTCTCACTTACTCTTTCTCTCTCTCTCATTCTGTTCCTCTCTGGTCAAATTAAATAAAGTTAAATAAAATACTTCTTAGAAGAAAAGAAAGAAAAGAAAATATTCAGTCTTTAAATATTTACTTCAGACAACTCAAGGCATCCTTACATTGTCTAATCAAGGGCTAACTTAAGATCTGACTTACAGTTATATACACAAATATTTCATTTTTTAATTTTTCCCAGAGGAGATGGGCATATAGAAGAGAGACAGGGAGAAAGTACCCTTGAATGGGACATGGTCATGGTGCAATCCCATCTCCATTTCTCCATCCTGTCAAGATTTGGGGCGCGCACGCGCACGCGCGCGCACATACACACACACACACACACACACACACACACACAGAACATGTTTTTCAAACCACCATGGCGGGGATTCACTCAGCCGTGCAGCCAGTCATGTGGAGTCTGGCTCTCTTAACAGCCAGCTGTGGGGCCAGCCCAAATCTATCCTTTTTTTAACATCAGTTTTGAAAAATATTGATTGTGGTGATAGTCACACATATTTTTTAATATACTAAAAACAATTGCATCATATGCTTTAAACAGGAAGATTGCACGGTATTTTAATTATATCCCAATAAATCCATTATATGTATTATCATCAGTGTTCCATGTTCGTATTTTTGTTTTAACTATGGACCCTCTTTTTTATATCTGGTTGGTTGTTTTCACTACAGCCTTTTGGGTATGGTTATTTTTCAGTCGCTGGGTAAGTCGGAGCGCCACCGCACAGCGCAGGAAAGAACGCCTCCGCCAGCATTCTGAGCACATCGGACTGGACAACGACCTGAGAGAGGTATGTGGCTGCCTTCCTGGGCTGCCTTGATGCGGAAACCATGCACAGCTGACGCGGCCCCGCAGGTGTCGTGTGTAGGTTCCTTTACATTCCTTTAAAAGTGATTCAGTTATATTTTAAGTAGGACCAGCAGGTGGCATAGTGGTTACATCACTGGACTCTCAACTGCAGTTCTAGTCCTGGTCCCAGCTGCTTAAAGCTCACGCTGGGCATATGTGCATGCATGCCCAGAATCTCAAGAGGAAAACAGAGGAAAAGGAATTGTGGCGTGGCCATCCCCCATGGGGGGTGATTTCTCGCTTTCCGTCTGTCTCTCTCTGTCTGTTGAGCACACACAACCTATTGCAGCAAATCTCTCTTTAAAAAAATATATATAATTTTTTTTCTTTTTTTTGAATATTAATTCTTTTGTACTGACTTATGGCAGAAAAAATCTTTTTTCCACTTTAAAAGTTTCTGTAGGCTCTAAAACAAGTCTTTTGTGTAAGTACATCAAGAAATGCTACATTTACGATACATTTTTGGTCAATATGTCTCCTATAGGGAGAAAATTTCACAAGAAGCATAGACATTTCTAAGTTTCAAGCATAAGTTAAACTTAATAACTAAAGATGTATTCACTTTTGTTTGTCCTTAGCTTACCGACATCATTTTTAAAAGTGTTTTTAAGCTATTTTTAAGTTAAGGTATTTATGTGTTGTTGCTTATACCGTTTGTAAATAAAAACATAATTATCCATTTGGGTAACTATAAGTAAGTTTTGATTATTTTTTTGTAATCCAAAGAAAAATGCAATCAGAAGTTCTGTTACCTATTTTCTAAAGTCAGATATGTAGAAATAAAGCAGAAAGCATCATTCCAAGCAGCTCTTGCTCTTTGTTAATGTGTTCATACATCTGTGGTTTTAGACTCTCTCACAGCCCGGAACATCGCCTGTGTAGTGCGTTTCTTTTACTGCCGTATTTCCTTCGGCCCTCCTCCCTGTTGCTGTGTTTTATCATATGCATGCTTGTTTTGCTTGTTTCTTTCTATCCTTTTCTTTTTTGCTTTTCTGTCATCGGCATGTTTCCATCCTCTTAGCCTTCCGGGGAACTTTTGGTCTGTCAGAACTCCATGGCATTCTGGGAGTGGGATCAGGGCCCACCTCCTCCTGCACGACTTCCTAAAAAATCCTTCTCTGAGTGCTGCCTGGTATGTTCTTTGCTCGAAAGTGCTTTGCCAGATGTTTCTGAACCTTGCCTTTGGTGTTACCTGGATGACACACATGTGTGAGCACACGTAGCTCTAGAAGGCCTCCCTCCACTCGTGACGTGCACTCGCAGCCCCTCCGTCGTGCTCGCTGCTCCTCTCGTGTTCAGTGTGCGCTGCCCGCTGTGTGCTCGCATGAATAATTCTATGTTGCCGACAGGTGAAACTGGTTGTTCGAATCCCTAATTGGTGGGATTTTTTTTAAAACCAGAAACTAAATTGCTTTTCTTCCAAAGGGGATTTGTGTTAAAGATATAAACTCCCTTTTACTTAAGCATTATTTTAAAGTGCAAAAGTGATTTAGTTTCAAACAGCTTTAATTTGCTGAGTTTTATTTGCACAGCATATTTTATTTACTCTTCTTGGACCATTTTTTATGTGGTCAGAAAATCCAGTCATCAACATAGAATTTTAGTAGTAAGAGGAACCTTTGAGGTAATCTTGTCTAACTTCATATGATTTCACTGAAACTCAAGAGACTTACCCAAAGTTAAAATGGACACATATGGGCAGGGCTGGGCCTGTGGCCAAGGAACCATGGCCTTTAGGCTGGTGTCTTCCCACTGACCCGCATGCCAGCTTGCACTCACCACTGTTCACCTAAAGGCTCCAGTATCCTAGGACTCCTGCTTGTATTTTTTCCTCTCATTATGCCATTAGCTTAAATTTATTTAATTTTATAATGATCTTCTCTTCTCAAGTTCAGCACCAGTTAAATGGACAGGGTGTTAGAAAGTTTAGCAAGAGCCCGATGGTGGTAGTGTACACTGGTAGACCCAGCTACTTGGCAGGCTGAGGCCACAGGGGAAGCCCAGGTTCAATTCCCAGCCTACCTTAAAAGCTGGGTGCAGTGGTACACACCTTTACTCCCAGTGACATGGAAAGGCTGAGGTAAGAGGGTTGAAAGTTCAAGGCCAGTGTGGAAGCATAGTGAGACCTTGTCTGAAATAGCCAGGAATGGCGCTATGTGCTTGGAGTCCCAGCTATCTAGGAAGCTGAGGCAGGACGATCATGGTGGTCAGGGAGTACTTGTATTACAGAGAAGCTAACCCAGTCTTTATTAACTAATGTATTTTTGCTTTTTTTTAACGTATTGCCAGAGGATGCATGCACTCACCGGAGAGAGACAGAGGGAATGGGAGAAAACAGTTCCCAGTGGGATGGTCACAGTGCAATTCCTTCTCCATTTCTCCTTTCTGTCTGTCAGATTTTGAGCACAAACACACACGCGCACAGTGTGTCTTTCAAGCTGCCAGGGCCAGAGTTCAAACCAAGGTCGACCACATAGGATCTGGCTGCCTTAATCTGGCTTCAAAACCTGCCCCCCACCGTATATATTTTCATAAGTACTTCTTAGTGGTTTGTTGCTCTTGCGTTTGACAGAATAGCATAGTAGGAACCTTAGAAAATATCTGAGGTTACTTCCTTCTATAGAGAAATGGGCTTTATTATAAAAATATTCCTTTTGAAAGGTTTCTCATTCTTTATTTTTCATTTTAAAATACATCTTTTCCCCCAGTTACCATTTTTATTACTTATTTCATTTAAAAGCATTGCTGTTTTCACAACACACAGAGTAGGTTCACATCTTGCTATGAGCAGAGGCCTCTTGCCACCACCTGCATTGTTTCTGTTCATGGCCATGCAATGTTGCTAGTTCTTCTTTTTTTTTCTTTCTTTTCTTTTCGTTTTTAACTGGCTAAGGAGTGCATATGCTCATCATAGAGAGAGAGCAGGAGTTGGGGGAGTGAGATAGCATCTCCCAAGGGGGATGGCCACTGCACAATCCCTTCTCCTCCGTTATCCTCTCAGGGTCTTGGACACACAGGAACAAGCACCTAGCAGGTACGTCTGGGTCCAGGATTCAAGCTTCACAGTCAGCCACATGGGAGCCAGTCACCTCGACCAACATGCCACTAGCTAGCCTTGTTGCTAGTTGTGTGGCTCCAATGGCGCTGCTCGGAAGGAGGCTTTGCAAATAGTCCGGTGGAGTCCACCATTGTCCTAAAAACTACCTGCCTTTCAGGTGCTGGGTGCTTCGTAAATATGGTCACTTGTAGGACAGCACTCAGCTTGTTTTTATTTATTTAAAACAGCACATAGATATTAAACAGCACATAGATATTAAGCAATTATTAATTTTTCCAATTACTGACTTTAAAAGGTTATTACACATTTTAGGAGAAAAGAGAAATGCCAGAGGCTTCTTCTAGCCTCTTGCCTGACCTTCTTCCTCACTTCTTTTCTTCTGGTATGGTTCTCTCTAAGTTTGACTTAACTCTTCTTTTTTTAAAATAATGATTTATTTCATTTTACTTATTATTATTACCTTTTTTTCTTTTTTTAAATTTGACCAGAGAAAGACACAGAAAGAGAGGGAAAGTGAGAAAGCATGCTGCCAAGTCCAGGACTTGAACTGTAGTTGACCATGTGGGAGCCCAACGCCCCAACTACCATGCCACCTGCTGACCCCTGACTTAACTCTTCTTAAGAACTGAATCTTGGAATAGTTCTCTGTACAATTTACCTGAGTTCTAAACATGGAAGAGTTGAGGCTGGGGAAAAAGGGATACTTTCACCATTTAAAAGTTATCATTTGGTGGCCTGGTGGTTAAGATGCTGGACTCCCCCATGGCTGACTGCAGTTGGAGTCCTGGACCTGGCAACTTGCTTTCTTTCTGTGTATGTCTCTCTGTCTCTCTCTACTGCGTGCATGTGCCCTGTAGCAAATTAAAAAATAATAATGATAAAATTAAATTCTTTTTTAAAAAAAGTTAACATTTGTTTTTGCCAGCCTTTTATCTCAGGTTTTTAATATTTCAAGTAAGGTTGGTATGCCTGAAACAATGAGAAATGCAAATAATATGATTCTCACATAATGTCCCTGTTCTGTACATTGGGTTGATTTTCCTGAAACTGTTCCATTTCCTACATTTATTTGCCAAGTCTCCTTCTAAATATGACCTTGAGACATTTGGTCTCTGGAGCTTCTGTGCTGCGACCCTGGGGCAAGCATAGTGATCTGAGTGAGCTTTTACAGGGAGCACAGGGAAAAGAGAGCTCATGGCCTGCACTAGCCACATGTCGGGATTTTTTCTTAGTGGACATTCACTAACTAAACCCAAAAGCACTGGGCTAGGTTTTAGTGATACCTGAGAGCCACCACAGGTCCTAAAAGTGTGAGTATGATCCCACTGTCTCCTGTAGCATACGGCAAGGATGGGGTTTAGCACACGTCCCAGAAAGAGGAGGTCTGCATTTGGAGCATAGCGTGCCCTCCAGAGTGATTGTATAGCCTTTTTAGTGAGATAGGTGGGCGTGTATTGTGCCCATTTCATCAATAAGCTGAGATTCACAAACTGAGGTCATAAAATTAGTTACAGGGGCCAGCGGGTAGTACAGTGGTTAAGGCGCTGGATTCCACGTAGCCGACTGTGGTTCGAGTCCTGGACCTGGCAGCTTGAAACTCATGCCCAGTGAGTGTGAGTGCATGCCTAAAATCCTGAGAGGAGAATGGAAGAGAGGGGGCTATGGCATGGTCATCCCCTCTAGGGAGTAATTTCTCACTTTCTCTCTCTCTGTCTCTTCAGCGAGCACATGTGCCCTATAGCAAAAAAAAAAAAAAAAAAAAAAAAAACTCTCTTAGAAAAAAATAATAAGTTACAGCAAGATCCCAGAGCCCCTGTTTTACTGTTGTGACTCAATTAGAGCCAGATAGGTTGAAGAGCACTATCAAAAGGTCATAGCTGTACTGAGTCTCTTAAGGCTTGGGGAGAAGAGGGAGCAAGCCAGTGATCTGAGAAACAGTGAGCTCCAGGAAACCTTGGACTTGCCGGCCAGACACCTAACCACAGTCCTGACTAATCACAGCTTTGGACGTTCCCAAGAAACAGACTAAACCAAATGAAGCTCCATCTCCTTTGGAATGAGCTTACCCTCTGGGGTTTCTGCCACCCTCCTTCTCACAGGAATTAACAGGTGGGGGGAGTACAAATGTCCGCTGCCTTTTAGCACACTGAAACTTGGCTATAGCACATATGTTTATGGCCCACATTTTGCTTTTTGCTTGTTCTTGTAATTGTTCGTGTGAGGTTAACTAGATGAGAAGAATATCTGATGTTTTGCCACTAAAAATACTCTTTAATTTTTAGAAATACATGCAAGAGGCACGGAGTTTAGGGAAAAACCTGAGGCAACCCAAATTGTCAGACCTCTCTCCTGCAGTGATTGCACAGACCAACTGGAAGTTCGTGGAAGGCTTATTGAAAGAATGCAGAATGAAGGTACGTATTACTCACTGGTGCCACGCAGTGCACATTTGTGTTTACGCCGCGCATCTGAGGCCATGGTGAGCTGAGGCAACTCCCAGTTGAGCCCACAGTGCTCCACAGAATGGAACGTTTTCTGTGGTGTAGACCTCGAATTCTCTTTACTGAGGTCGCGAACCTCCATGGGTTTTCTGTGGCCCACAGAATCAGAGACATGGGAGCCCCGCATGGTCTGCCTCACCTTTTTAGCCATTGCCGTCCCCTTCTCCGACGTGAGTGAACACTTACAGGTTGTATCGGGAATGTTCTCGTCTTACATGAACGTCAGCCCTGTGTGTATATGCACCTGTCCGTGCCCAGGTATGGTTATGTACGCCTGTGAGGACAAAGACCTTCATACATTGCACACCAGTCTCCTCTCAGCTCTCTGTGTTTGTCAGAGGTAATGCGACAGATTGACAAAACTCAGATCATCATTTTAGCCAATATTTTCACTCACTTATTTGACAGTCATTTCTTGAGTACTTTCTCAGCATAGTCAATAAATGCACTATTTTCAGCACTGGCATATAGTGGCGAATCAGACAGACAAGTCCCTGCCCACAAGAACTAGATTCTCTCTCACTTCACGTTTTATAAGAGCTGCTAAGACTGATGCAAATTAACTGACTCAAAGCCGAGTTCCCATTTTCTGGTGCAGAGGAGAGATAAAACAGGGAAAAAAGGAAGGGAAAATTCTGATTCATTAAAAATTAGAGAGTTCTTTAAAAGCTTAGAGCTGCCGATTCGTTTTGTACTTTTTCGCCTGAGTGCAGTCAAATTAAGCACAAATTCCTTCAGTATGCTAAGATGGAGGGGGGCATGGGAAGGCAAGTTGTGGTGGCAGGATGGGGTTCCAGATTCTGACAGCGCGGTTTCTAGATATGGCATAATTCCCCAATGTCACCGAAGGTAACAATCTAGAAATTGTTGTACATAAGCATTTTATCAATGTGGGAATGCTTTACAAATATCTTATTCTCTCTTTAGTGACTCTCCGTTTCTCTGACAAAATAGTAGGATATAGACGATTTTACTCTAGTTGGCCAGAGTGAGTAAGACAGTTCTCCCAAAGTGATGCAGAATCCACAGTTGGGAATATAATAAAGGAAGGCCAGGCCTCCTGATGCAGTCCTGGTTTGCTTTGGTTTTTGGCTTACCACTGAGGCAACTCACCCGCACACTTGATGGTTTCAGACAAAACGCATGTTGGTTGAGAAGATGGGTCATGAAGCCGTGGAGCTGGGCCATGGCGAGGCCAATATCACCGGCCTGGAGGAGAACACCTTGATTGCCAGCCTCTGTGACCTGCTGGAGAGGATATGGAGCCACGGCTTGCAGGTTAAGCAGGTAACAGTCTCCAGAGGTCCTGGTGACATGGGCAGGTGGGAGCATTAGGAAGAATAGAACATAGAAAGTACACATTCTTGGGACCAGCAGATGGCGGAATGGTTGTTACTGGACTCCCACTTAGTCGACCATGGTTTGAGTCCCGGACCCAGCAGCTTAAAACTCACACCGAATATGTGTGCATACGGGCTCAAAATCTCCAGAAGAGAATGGAGGAGAAGGGACTGTGGTGTAGCCATTCCCCTTACTTTCTCTTTCTCTGTATCACAAGCGAGCACAGGTGCCCTACAGCAAAAATCTCTCTCTCTTTAAAAAAAAAAGAGTACAGCTTCTTTTGTCAGAAGATGTGCCACAGGCATTTTTGTATCAGGGAAAAAGGAAAAAAAAAAACATGATGGGGGTGGTTTGGAGATCCTTCTTGATAAACAGGAAAGAATAAAGGAGCCCATTCATTGCAGATGCTGTATGCTCTGTAGATTCCATTCAATGTCTGTGTTTGCTGCTGTTTAAGAGGAAAAAATCTAGCCTGAATTAATAGTTTTTTACCATTAAGTTACCTCATAATTCAGGGTGGAGCAATTCAAGCGATCTCTCTGCTTGGTCTCTCTAGGCTCTCGTTCTGACTTTTTGATGTGTGCGTGTTTCATTGTTCCTCCCTTTCTTGTTCTCTCACCCCAGTTTCCTTCCCTCATTGCCACCGCAGTATCCAGATGTGTTTCACACATACTTGTGCACAGATTCATTCTGAGTCGCTAGAGCACACAGCAGAAATCTTCATGCTTGCCTTTCTGGCTCTTTCTTTGGCTGTTTCCCTTCCCTCTCCCAGGGTCCTCCGATCTTCTCTGTGAGGCAAAGGGTGAGGCTTGTAGTGCTCGCAGCAAGACCCTCAGAATGCCACACAGTGAGAAGTGGATGAGTCAGGCTCACCACGACCACTTTGTTATGAATAGTTTCTATGAGTAATTATTTTTAAGTGCATTATTTCTTATACATGAACATTTTTATATGTGTCCTGTACTTTCAGGGGAAGTCGGCTCTGTGGTCACATTTGATTCAGTTTCAAGACAGAGAAGAGAAACAAGAGCACCTTGCAGAATCGCCAGGTGAGAGGCCCTTGGTTTAACGGTGTCCCCAGAACTGGCAGCACTGGGCCGTGAGCAGATCCAGTACTGTACGGTCTTGTGTCTGTCTCCTCTCTCAAGCTGCTAAGACTCACCTCATCTTGCCAGCAGTGGGCTGAGGTAGGAGGAGCAATATTATTTACTGTGAGACCCGGGGAAAGTCACGTGACCTTTCTGATCTTCTGCTTCCTCATCCAGGAGCTAGGGAAAATAATATTAGCTGTGCCAGGGCTGTCATGTTGATCAAAGACACTAACATGAGAAGACCCAGTGAATTGTAGAAGACCAAATAAGAGTAGCTTATTGTCTCCAGAACTAGGGTATGATGTATACAGATTTTTTTTAAAAAGAATTATTTAATTGTATTTATTATTACTGTTATTTTATTTTTATAAAGAATTATTTTAACTGTACTTATTTATGTATTTATTTATTTTTAATTTGACCACAGTAGGACACACAGCACAAAGAGAGAGAGAGCAAGAAAACAAGCCGCCAGGTCTGGGACTCAAACCATAGTCGGCCATGTGGGAGTCCAGCACCCTTA